CCCTGGTCATGCTTACGCTGTGTGCTAAATTAATCTCTCTGTGTTGTGGTTTCATAACTCACCAAAGACATGTATGTTTTCCTCCTACATAATGAATTTATGTATTAAAGGACTTGAAGAGGACCTGACTCATATGAAGTCCTGTTTTATAAGAGCTCACTATCATTAGGAAAAGCGAAAGTGAAGTCGCTCAGTTGTGTCCAACTCTTTATGACCCCATGGACTGTAGCCTACCAGGCTCCTCCGTCCATGGAATTCTCCAGGCAAGAGTACTGGAGTGGGTTGCCATCTCCTTCCCCAGGGGATCTTCCTGACCCAGGGATTGAACCCAGGTCTTCTGCATTTTAGGCAGATGCTTTACCATCTGAGCCACCAGGGAAGCCCATTATTAGGAATCTGAGAACCAAATAACTGACTTGGGTGGCACCAGGACAGAAGGAGAGAAGGAGGGAACTGTGATTCAGTCCTTGGGGATGAGGGGAACCCCTGATCTTTGCCCAGAAGCCAGAGCCTCACATACTGAGGATGCAGGAAGTGGGCTCTTGAGTTGAGGATAAAGTCCCAGAGGCTTGATGCATGGACAAGACAGTGACTCCATAAAAACTGACTCCCCCAAAATGGGCTGCTTCCTTTTCAAATGTTACCTGGTGGTGACAATCATTGATCTTTGCGCTCTCTGCTCCTTCTATGGCACCCCGGTTTCCCTCTCTCTCCCCTCCCTGCCCCTCAGGTTCCACTCTAAGGCCAGTGACTCCCAGCCTCGAGCAACCAGGTATGCTGAGGGCACCTTCATCAGTGACTACAGTATCGCCATGGACAAGATCCGCCAACAAGACTTTGTGAACTGGCTACTGGCACAGAAGGGGAAGAAGAGCGAGTGAGTCGTGTGCACTCCCCACCCCCTCCCTGCTCCCGGTGCCCCGTGTGATGCACAAGTCCAGGGGCGCCTTTCACTTAGGTTCTGATCGGGAGCTGAATTGCATGGCAGTCCTGCCTGGGCTCCTGACTCAGGCAGCAGTATGGCCTGAGGGCAGGGCGTGGGCAATTTTCCAATCCTTTTCTTCTAAGGGGAGGGGTCAAGGAAGGTGTATTGGGCTCAGAAAGGATCCCCAGGGGGCTGGGGATGAAGGCAGGGAAGCTGAACTGCTGCTGATGACTATTCGGTGGTGGCAGCTTCAGACTTTGGAAATAAGATGAGCTGATCTCATCGGTTTTCTCTTTGCAAAGTCTCTTTCCCTGCCTCTGCTGTTTGACCTGCATGGTAGCTTTTGAAAAGCTTTTCACTGGCAGCTGATGACAAGCAGTTGGGAGGTTGACTGAAGAAAGAGGTACCCTCTGCTCCTTGGGTTGAGGTACCAAATGGTTGGAGCTTCTTTGGATTGGAGAATATCTGGAATCGCCCCTGGCTTCACCTATTCCCTAATCTTTCTTTTACCAGCTGGAAACACAACATCACCCAGAGGGAGGCAGGGGCCCTAGAGCTGGCCCATCAGTCTAGCAGGAAGGAGGAGGCAAAGGAGGAGCAGGGGTGAGTCGGCCAGCAGGGGACGGGGTGGGGGTGGGGCCTCCGACTCACTCCCACCTCATTGTTCCCTTTCCCAGACTCCAGAACAAGGCTAGGCCCCAGATAAGCATCCTCTTCTACCCAGAATTCAAAGAGGGGTCCTCACAGAGCTCCCGGAGATCAGCCCAAGCCTAAAGGAATAGCCCAGGAGGCATGGGGGTGGGGGTCCTGGGAGGGGATTTGGGGCACATTAAGAGTGATGACTTAATGTGCAGTCACCAAGTTCAGAAGAGGCTGGATAGGGACCTCAGAAACTGGCTTCTCCCCTTTTGTCTGCTAAGCTTCAGGAAGGCTTTTATGAAACAAGGACCCTCCCAAGGCCGGTCCCCTGAAATCAGTTACCCTGTCTCTGTAGGAAGCTGAGGAATTGACACAGATTATTCTAAAGAGTGAACATTCCCAAAGTAATCTCTGGGGGGTTGGAATACACTCTGGGAAACTTGTAGAGGTGGGTAGGTTGGACGTCTCCCACCAGAATTGTTTGTCTTTGCTTGTATGGAAGAGCCCATATTCCCTGGCGACAGGTCTGGGCGGAGCTTTGAAAGCTGAGACAACTGAGAGGCAGCTGTGTTGACGTGCACATCCCCGCCCCTGCCCCACCTTGTCCCACCACCGGCCAACCCCTGTATTTACTCTCTCTGGGTGGGGCCTGGGCTTAAGGGGCCTGCCAGAGGCTTTCTCCTTTGTAGCTCCCTACCCAAGAACCCCAGTGATGAAGATTTGCTAAAGCTTTTACTGATTCGAGAGCTGCTGGCCTGGATGGCGGATCAGATGGAGCTCTGCAGGCTCAGGTGGGAGTTTGGCAGCTTTGGGCATCTTGCATATTGGTTGCGAGCTCTCGCTCTGGAGTCAGACGTGGGTTCAGATCTTCACCCCAACACAGGCTGACAAATTACTTACACTCTCTGAAACTTGGCATTTTTGTGAAAGTCAGGGTTATTTAAACCACTTCATAGGATTTGGTGGGGTTTCAATAAGATAATGCTAGGAAAAGGCTGAGAGCAACATCTGCAGAATATTAAAAGTGGATTCCCTGGTGGCTCAGACGGTAAAGTGTCTGCGCGAAATGTGGGAGACCCAGGTTCGATCCCTGGGTTGGGAAGATCCCCTGGAGAAGGAAATGGCAACCCACTCCAGTACTCTTGCCTAGAACATTTCATGGGTGGAGGAGCCTGGTGGGCTACAGTCCATGGGGTTGCAAAGAGTCGGACACAACTGAGCGACCTCACTTTCAATGTTGACAGATGTTAGTACCACTTTCACTTCTTCCTCAGTTTCCTCCAGGTGAGATGCTGCTCTCACCTGCCCTACCAACCCCAAACCATACCATCCTCAGCTGTCCCTCAGTACCCTTGTGCCATGGCAAGTTCTCAGTGATGAAACCCCTAGAGTTGGAGGAACGTTGCCCTTCTCTGTAGCTCCAGCTGGTCTCAATAATCCTCAAATCCTCCTCCTCATCTAGGAAGTCTTTCAATTTATTGATATCATGTCTTAGAAGTAAGGGATGGCTCAAAACCATGGAGGGATCCAGACACTCGAACAGTGAGACAGGACATTCATTTAAGATGCAGACACCAAGGTGCAGAAACCAAAACAAATTCAGACTTCGGTGATGGGAAGTTGAGGGATTGAGGGAACAAATCTGGAATAGTTTCCTGTAAGAGGGTTAGAAGGACCCTATGTGGCCAGAACAATGGAGAAAAGAGTATGAGAAAATCTCCTTGGTAAAGTGGGTAACAGTCTCTGCACTTTTTGGAATTACCATTAGAAAGGCAATTTGGAGGTAGGAGGAGTTGAACTATGGCTGGGTGCCAGAATACACTTACTTTGCTGACTCTAAGCTGATATTCCCCTCCTCTCTCCACTCTGCACAGGTTTCAGTGACTCTGACCAAACCCAAGCTCAGAACTGGACTCTGCCCTTCATTCACTCAGCTCCTGCTTCAGTTCCACTCCACGATACTCCAAAGAAACCAAACGAAGTTTAAGCTGAAATAAATGTTTGTGCTCATTGTCAAAACTTACTCACGTGTGTCTACTGATGACTAACTGGACGTTTGTCTCTGTGTGTACACCACTCAGTGAAAAGGAGGTATGGCTCTTACCTATCTGTCAATTCATCTACTGTTTCCATGAACACTTATTGGAAACTTAACACAGGCAGGGATTATGCTTAACACTGGGTATACAGCAATCATGCAAACAGACACAATCATTGTCCCCAAGGGTTTACAGTCTAGTGATGGAGACATACCTTAATCTTTAAATATACAAACAGTGACTTCCCTGGTGGTCCAGTGGCTAAGATTGTGCACTCCCAAAGCAGGGGGCCCAGGTTTGCTCCCTAGTCCAGGAACTAGATCCCACAACTAAAGATTCTGCATGCAACAGAGAAGCCTCATAGGAGGAGTAGGCAATCAGGAGGGTCTCTCTGAGAAAATGACATTTAAGCTGAATGAGATTTTTAAAAATATTTATTTCTTTTTGGCTGTGCTGGGTCTTCCTTGCTGTGTGGGCTTTTCTCTAGTTGCTCTGTGTGGGGGCTACTCATCGTGGTGGCTTCTTTGGTTGCGGAGCACAGCCTCTGGGGTGCACGGGCTTCAGTGGCTGGAGCTCCCGGGCCCTGGGGCACAGGCTCAGTAGTCATGGCGCATGTGCTCGGTTGCTTCACAGCATGTGGGATCTTCCCAGACTAGCGATGGAACCCATGTTTCATGCATTGACAGGTGGATTATTTACCACTGAACCACCAGGGAAACCCTAAGCTGAGTGAGATCTGAAGGATAAAAAGGCCAAAAGGTGAAGAGAGACAATAAATATTAGCCGGTAGTATTGTTATATGGCAAAATGGGCAATGGGGTGGAGAGAAGAGAACAAGTGGAGACTGGGCAGGTAGGCAGAAGCAGGGCCTCACAGGCCACTTTAAAGCTTTGGGATTTTATCCTTAGTGTAAGCGCAGGTCCTTGAAGGAGTTTGAGCAGGGAGAAGTCAGAGAAGATCTATTTGCATCTCCAATCATACTGATGATGGTGAGAATTATATTGAGATGAAGAGGAATGAACATGAAATCCCTCTTGCAGGATTCCAGATTTCACACTAGGGAGATGGCAGGGAAGGTAAAGCAAAGTGGGAGAACTCAGTTTGTCCAAAAGTCAATACCTCTTTCTTTCTGTGTTTTAAGACTTTTCCACCTTGGTGTGCTGCCTTCTCTCACTGCCCTGCATCCACAGAAGGCAAGGCTGTCTCTCCTTCCCACTTAGTTTAGGTTATCTTTGCTAATGCCCCCCTCTCCCCTTGATCTAGTCACGTTTTAGCAGACTAGAGTCAAATACACCTAGATTCAAATCACTCTCTAGGTCTGTGACTTGGCAAGTTAGTTCCTCTCTCTCTGATGCTCAGTTTCTTGTCTGTAAAAAGATTAAAAAGTACTCACTTCATAGAGTTGAAGAATTTTAAGATAATGCTTGGCACAAAGTAACTTTTGTTATTATTATTCACACATGAAACATCAATTTAAAAACATGGGGGTATTAGGACTTCTCTGGTGGTCCAGTGGTTAAGACTGCGCTTCTGGCTTCTGGTTCAAGATAGTCCAGTAGAAGGACATGCGCTCATCTCCTATTAAAAAAGCAACAAAATTACAACTAGTTGTTGAACAACCATGGACAGGAGGACTCTGGACCCACCAAAAAAGATACCCCACATCCAAAGACAAAGAAGAAGCCACAACAAGATGGTAGCAGGGTCACAATCACGGTAAAATCAAATCCCATACTTGCCAAGTGGGTGACCCACAAACTGGAGAACAATAATATCAAAGAAATTCTCCCACTGTTGTGAAGGTTCTGAGCCCCATGTAAGGCTTCCTAGCTTAGGGATCCAGCAAAGGGAATTTGGGAATTTCCAGGGAATCTGACTTTGAAGGACAGTGACATTTGATTACAGGACTTCTACAGGACTAGGGGAAACAGAGGCTCAACTCTTGGAGGGCACAAACAAAATCTATGTGCACCAAGACCCAAGGGAAAGGAACAGTGACCCCACAGGAGACTGAACCAGACCTATTTGCTAGTGTTGGAAGGCCTCCTATGGAGGCGGGTTGGCAGTGATTCACCACAGGGATGGGGCCCTGGCAGCAGCAGTCCTGAAAGCTGGTCCATGGCTTAAGTCCTCTTGGAGTTCGCCATTAACCCTACCATAGAGCCCAGAGACCCCAGGGCTGGGTGGCCTCAAACCAAAAAACTTACAGGGAGGGATCAACTTCACCCATCAAGAGGTAATTGGATTAAAGCTTTACTGAGCAAGGCGCTACCCACCAGAACAAGACACAGTTTCCCCCACGTAGTCCCTCCCATCAGGAAACTTACACATTCACCAAAGGGCAGACAGAAGAAGTGAGAAGAACCACAATCTCACAGCAATTAGAATGAAAATCACACCACAGAAAGTTAATCAGAATGAAAAAGCAGAGAGTTATGTCCCAGATAAAGGGACAAGATAAGACCCCAGAAAAACAACTAAATAAGTGGAGATAGGCAACCTTCCAGAAAAAGAATTCGAATGATAGTGAGGATGATCCAGGATCTTGGAAACAGAATGGAGAAGATACAGGAAATTTTTATCAAAGACCTAGAAAAATGGTTCCCTGGTAGTTCAGACAGTAAAGAATCTGCCTGCAATGCAAAAGACTCAAATTTAATCCATTGGGTTGGGAAGATCCTCTGGAGAAGGGAATGGCTACCCACTCCAATATTCTTGCCTGGAGAATTTCACAGACAGAGGAGCCTGGTGGGCTACAGTCCATGGGGTCGCAAGGACTGTAGTCCATGGGGTGGGGTCGCAAAGGGTGGGACACGACTGAATGACTAACACTCAGAAGAACTAAAAAACAAACAGAGATGAACAATATATTAGAAGGAATCAACAGCAGAATAAATGAGGCAGAAGAACAGTTAAGTAATCTGAGGGAAAGGATGGTGTGAATCACTACTGCAGAACAGAATATAGAAAAAAGAATAAAAAAAAAAAAAATGAAGACAGCCTAAGAGACCTCTGGGACAACATTAAAGGCACAAACATTCGCATTACAGGGGTTCCAGAAGGAAAAGAGAGAGAGAAAGGACCTGAGAAAATATTTGAAGAGATAATAGCTGAAAGCTTTCCTAACGTGGGAAAGGAAATAGTCAACCAAGTCCAGGAGGCACAGAGAGTCCCAGGCAGGATAAACCCAAGGAGGAACACACTGAGACACATAGTAATCAAACTGACAAAAATCAAAGATAAAGACAAAGATAAAACACTAAAAGCAATAGGGAAAAACAACAAATAAACTCCTGTAAGTTATCAGCTGATTTCTCAATAGAACACTACAAGCCAGAGGGAATAGCAAAATTATTTAAAGTGTTGAAAGGGAAGAACTTAAAACCAAGAATACTCCACTCAGCAAGGAAAACTTTCCAGAGAAGCAAAAGTTAAGGGAATTCAGCATCACCAAATCAGCTTTACAACAAATAATAAAGGAACTTCTCTAGGCAGGAAACACAAGAGAAGGAAAAGACCAACACAAAACAAACCCAAACAATTACCAAAATGATAATGTGCATGCTAAGTCACTTCAGTACAAGAGTACGACTCTTTGCGACCCACCAGCCTCCTCTGTCCATGGGATTCTTCAAGCAAGAATACTGGAGTGGGTTGCCATGTCCTCCTCCAGGGGATCTTCCTGACTCAGGGATCAAACACACGTCTCTTCCATCTCCTGCATTGGTAGGCGGGTTCTTTACCCCTAGTGACACCCAGAGGACCAGGCTGCTGCTGCTGCTAAGTTACTACAGTCGTGTCTGACTCTGTGTGACCCCATAGACAGCAGCCCACCAGGCACCCCCATCCCTGGGATTCTCTAGGCAAGAATACTGGAGTGGGTTGCCATTTCCTTCTCCACCCAGAGGACCATACATACCTATAATTACCTTAAGTGTAAATGGATTAAATGCACCAGCCAAAAGACATAGAGTGGCTGGGTGGATGAAAATATGTACATGGATGCACTTCCACTTACAACACCACCTTACTTAACCCCCCAAATTGTATGTAACTATTTTATATTATTAGGTTAATCATGTTTCCATTATGGCTTGTAATCATCTTTTATTTTTTGCCTGACTATTGATTGTGAAAGTTGATAAGCATCTTTTACTATTGTAATTATTAACTATTATTCACTTAATAGCACTGTATCATGACTGGCCAACAGAAAATGATAGAATTCTAAATCACTACAGCTACTATTTAATAGAAAAACCTGCAATCACTTTTTAAAATTCAGATGCATATCAGAATTATCTCGGAATTTTTGAAAAATACAAATGCCCAGGTATTGCTTTTTTTTCTCCAAAGCTCCAGATGTGTTTCTAATGAACAGCTATGTTTAAAAACAATTAGACTATGTGATGATTTTTTACTTTTATCTAGTTTGTTTCACTTTTTCTATTTCATATTCAGTGTTCCCATTTAATTTAGTTTACATTTTCTAATTTCTCCATCTCTTTTTTTTAATGTTCTTTCTCAAGCCTTTATCAAGCATACTAGAAAAGTTTTCGTATTCATCAGTCAGTTCAGTTCAGTCGCTCAGTTGTGTCCGACTCTTTGCAGCCCCAAGGACTCCAGCACACCAGGTTTTCCTGTTCCACACCAACTCCCAGAGTTTACTCAAACTCATGTCTATCGCGTCGGTGATGCCATCCAACCATCTCATCCTCTGTCACCCCCTTCTCCTCCCGCCTTCAATCTTCCCCAGCGTCAGGGTCTTTTCCAATGAGTCAGTTCTTCAAATCAGGTGGCCAAAGTATTGGAGTTTCACCTTCAGCATCAGCCCTTCCAATGAATATTCAGGACTGATCTCCTTTAGGTTGGACTGGTTGGATCCCCTTGTACTCCAAGGGACTCTCAAAAGTCTTCTCCAACACCACAGTTCAAAAGCACTTTGGCGCTCAGCTTTCTTTAAAGTCCACCTCTCACATCCATACATGACTACTGGAAAAACCATAGCTTTGACTAGATGGATCTTTGTTGGTAAAGTAATGTCTCTGCTTTTTAATATGCTATGTTGGTTGGTTGTAGTTTTTCTTCCAAGGAGCAAGTGTTTTTTAATTTCATGGCTGCAGTCACCATCTGAAGTGATTTTGGAGCCCCCCAAAATAAAGTCTATTACTGTTTCCATTGTTTCCCCATCTATTTGCCATGAAGTGATGGGACCAGATGCTATGATCTTAGTTTTCTGAATATTGAGTTTTAAGGCAACTTTTTCACTCTCCTCTTTCACTTTCATCAAGAGGCTCTTTAGTTCTTCTTCACTTTCTGCCATAAGGGTGGTGTCATCTGCATATCTGAGGTTATTGATATTTCTCCCGGCCATCTTGATTCCAGCTTGTGCTTCATCCAGCCTGGCATCTCACATGATGTATCCTGCATGTAAGTTAAATAAGCAGTGTGACAATATACAGCCTTGACGTACTCCTTTCCCGATTTTGAACCAGTCTGTTGTTCCATGTACAGTTCTAATTGTTGCTTCTTGACCTGCATACAGATTTCTCAGGAGGCAGGTCAGGTGGTCTGGTATTCCCATCTCTTTAAGAATTTTCCACAGTTTGTTGTGATCCACACAGACAAAGGCTTTGGTGTAGTCAATAAAGCAGAAGTAGATGTTTTTCTGGAATTCTCTTGCTTCTTTGATGATCCAGTTGGCAATATGATCTCTGGTCCCTCTGCCTTTTCTAAATCCAGCTTAAACATCTGGAAGTTCATGGTTCATGTACTGTTGAAGCCTGTCTTGGAGAATTTTGAGCATTACTTTGTTAGTGTGTGAGATGTGTGTAGTTGTGTGCTAGTTTGAATGTTCTTTGGCATTACCTTTCTTTGGGATTGGGATGAAAACTGACATTTTCCAGTATTGTGGCCACCGCTGAGTTTTCCAGATTTGCTCGCATATTGAGTGCAACACTCTCACAGCATCATTTTTTAGGATCTGAAATAGCTCAACTGGAATTCCATCACCTCCACTAGCTTTGTTCTTAGTGATTCAAGCGGGCTTCTTAAGGCCCACTTGACTTCACATTCCAGGATGTCTGGCTCTAGGTGAGTGATCACACCATTGTGGTCATCTGGGTCATCTTTTTTGTATAGTTCTTCTGTGTATTTATATGTATACATAAATAATATATATATAATATACATTTTGGAAAACTTACAATCTTTGCCTAGCTGAACAATTTATGACATTTTGATTCTACTTGTCCGACTTAATATGAACAGAACGCTAGATTTCTAATTTACATTCACTCAAAACTTTCATATAGTTCCATGTATTTTGGTATCTAGTATTACTGATTAAAGCCTAGAAAGTTTATTATCTTACTGATGTAAGAAAAAAATTGAATGAGGCTTGAAACTTCGAATCCAATCCTGAGAATATAAAGAAATACTATGTTCCAAAAAAAAAAAGAAAAGAAAATGGGAATTTAGACCATCAAGTTTTTGCACTTGGCCTTACGTCCCTGGATATTTTCCAATGTTTCCTAGTTTATAGTCTGTGGGAACTTGAATAGAATTTGTATCCTACTCTTGTGTGAAAACTGCATAAGTCTTAATTATGTTGAACTGGTTCATAATGCTTTTCAGGTCTACTATATCCTTCTACTTCTCTGTATATTCATTTTATTAATTCTTGAGAGTTTGATATTAAAACTCCAACTAAAAATCTTAATTTATCTACTTAAAAACTAATTTTAATATATAGTGGATCTATATGTAAACTTGTTCTGTATTTTCCAACTCTCCTGTACATGTTATCATATTTTCCTAATAAAAAAAACAAAACAAAAACCACCGTGCTTCCACTGCAGTGGTAAATGGTTTTATCCCTAGACAGGGAAGTCCTGCATGCTGCATGTAGGGCCAAAAAAAAAAAACAACAAAACCCAAAGTATTAGTTTAAAATCAGGCACTGGCAAACTGGATTGGTTAAATGGCTGGGCTGGTAAACCAAATAAGCTAAGTGAGGAGCATGTAAAACAAGGGGAGATTGGGACTGTGAAAATGGGAAAGAAATGTGACCCTAAAGGCATTCTGATGACCAAATAAAACTCCTTGGAGAACTGAATTTGCCTGAGGGCTGCCAGTTTGCAGTCTCTTCCAGTTGTAACATTTTGGGTTTCCTTTCCTTTAAACTCCTTGAGTTCAAAACATAAATAAATAAATAAATAAACTCCTTGAGTTCTAAAAGTATGCATCACTCAATTTAGAGCATGCCATTACTCAGAGGATATATTTTAGTGATTCTCCATGAAGAGCTGACTGCACTGAGGAGGAGTTTGGATCTGTATTTCTGCAGTCTTGAGTGTCTCTGTGAGTCAATGAATCTGAAACGGTTATTTTAAACAGTTTTGTACAACTGTCTTCCTATGGGTCAGGCATTTGTGCTCAGTACTTTCTAAACATCATTTTTTTTTCAACTTTTGGTGTTTTTTTTTTTTTTTTACTCCTTGCTTTTGTCCATACTAGTAAATATCAGTTTTAAAAATCATTTAATTTAAAGCCTCATCACAATCCTTCAAGATAATGATAATGTAATAGCTGTTAACCATGCACTATACTGCCTCCATGAGGCAAAGAATTATAAGCCTATGCTCTAAGCCACTTTGCCCTAAGACCAGTGACTCACTAGTCATTTAAAGGAAGTGAGGGCATATGGGTTGCTCAGCATTCAGTGGTGTACTGGACCAAACTGCTTCTAAGAGCATTGTGAAATTGGCAGTAATTTTGTGAGCAGGTTGCAAAAGCACTGATAGCTTGCAACAATAGCTTGAAAGGGCATACTGAGAGTATTTACACTATGGAAATTGGCAAATGCTATAAATCAGAGCACCTCTCTTCCAACCTAGAGAGGTGATTATTTACCAGTACATTACTGGTCAACAAACTTTCTCTTATAGAGGAGAACAAATGTGTCTGAAGAAGGAAAAAAGCATGTCTGCTCATGGGTCCAATGAAGTTTATCAAGGGCCAATGTGTGTACTTCAAGAAGTATGTGTGCATTTGAGGGTGCGGGCGTGCTAAGTCTCTTCAGTCATGTACAACTCTTTGTGACCCTATGGACTGTAGCCTGTCAAGCTCATCTGCCCATGGGGATTCTCCAGGCAAGAATACTGGAATGGGTTGCTATGCCCTCCTCAGGGTATCTTCCCAACCCAGGGTTCACTTCAGTTCAGTCACTCAGTCGTGTCCAGCTCTTTGCGATCCCATGAACCGCAGCATGCCAAGCCTCCCTGTCCATCACCAACTGCTGGAGTCTACCCAAACCCATGTCCATTGAGTCGGTGATGCCATCCAGCCATCTCATCCTCTGTTATCCCCTTCTCCTCCTGCCCTCAATCTTTCCCAGCATCAGGGTCTTTTCAAATGAATCAGCTCTTCGCATCAGGTGGCCAAAGTATTGGAGTTTCAGCTTCAACATCAGTTCTTCCAATGAACACCCAGGACTGATCTCCTTTAAGATAGACTGGTTGGATCTCCTTGCAGTCCAAGGGACTCTCAAGAGTCTTCTCCAGCACCACAGTTCTCTGAAGCAATGAGTGTGAGTGAGGGGGTCAGTCTGTACATGTTAAGGAGTCACAGAGTGAAAAACGAGGCCGGTGTGTCTAGATGGCGTCAGTGAGGATCTAAAGGACTGAGTTTTTTGTGTTAAGCAGTGGCATAGTAAGAATATGAAAATATGAGGTCAAAATCAATGTGTGTATGTATGAGGTTAGTGTGTTTTTCATAGTCAGGAGTGGGTAGGTATAATGGAGGACTGAGTATGTATGAAAGGATGTCAAATATATGTGTTGGAGGGGACAAATCTTGTTTGTGAAAATAAGTTTGTGTTTAAGGGGGCTTATGTTCTACGTTCAGTATCTGAGGGTATGCATCAGAGTGAACCTAAAGGTAGGACTATGATAGCCTGAATAACTGTTTCAGCCTTAGTCCTTGAATCTATTAACATTACATTCTGCTTCAAAAGAAAGGAAAACACAAAATAACAGTGCTGAATATTTTTAGCAAGACAGAGCATTATTTCTCTACCTAGAGGCAGGTAGCCTAGGGCTGGTGTGACAGCTTGTTTCATGAAATCCTTAGGGACCTAGACTCTTTGGACTCATGGCTCCCCCATCCCTCAGGGCCCCAACTGCCAACTAAATATCCTGCCACCTATCTCTGCTCCCATCTTCTTTTATTTCCTGAGGCTGTGCCACGTGGCATGCACAATTTTAGTTCCCGATCTGTACCACCTGAATTGGGAGCAGAGGGTCTTAACCACTGGACTGCCAGGGAAGTCCCTGCTCCCATCCATTTTTTTTTTTTTTTTTGCTGCACTGGGTCTTCATTGTGGCACCATGGTCTTCTTTTGTTGTAGTGCAGAGGCTCAGTTGCTTGGCAGCATCTAGGATCTTAGTTCCTGACCAGGGATGGAACCTGCATCTTCCTCTTTGCAGGGTGGATTCCTAACCACTGGACCACCAAGAAGTCCCTCACATCCTCTTTTTATCCTTTTACTTGAAACCACTCCGGTAACATTAGTCACATTCACGGTTTTGCCTTGACCTGTAGCCCAGCCCATATCTTTCCGTAGAACTTCAAACCAGTACATCTGAATGACAATTGGCCATCTCTCCTATGATGTCACACAAACCTCAATTTCAGCATTTTCAAAACAACTCAGTTATTTCCTCAACTTCATCTTGTCGTCTATTCTACCTCTCTGAATGGCACCACTGTGTTGCCTAAGCCAGCAAGTTGAACATCCTGCTAAGTTTTCCCATCCACTCTGCCCCCATCTCAGGCTTCCCAGGTAGCTCAGCTGGTAAAGAATCTGCCCGCAATGTGGGAGAACTCTGGGTCATGACGATCTGCTGGAGAAGGGATAGGCTACCCACTCTAGTATTCCTGGGCTTCCCTGGTGGCTCAGCTGGTAAAGAATCCACCTGTAATGCGGGAGACCTGGATTCTATCCCTGGGTTGGAAAGATCCCCTGGAGAAGGGAACAGCTACCCACTCCAGTATTCTGGCCTGGAGAATTTCACAGACTGTATAGTCTGTGGGGTCACAAAGCGTCGGACACGACTGGGCGACTTTCACTCACTGCCTCTGTCTGATCAGTTTTACCATCCCACCTTGATACATCCTGAATTTGTCCCATTCTCTCTATCCTTACTGCCACCATCTTAGTTCCCCCCTTACCATTTCTTCTTTGGACTGCTACAACTGACTCAAAAATTAAGTCTAGGTTGCCATTAATTTTCCTGTAACAAAAATTTATTACTACTGCCTGACTTAAGAAACCTCCATTGGCTCCTCCAAACCTCTACTGGCTCCTCCTTTGCAAGACTCAATAATGTTATGGAAATCACCTACTTAAAAAAAAAGAAAGAAAGAAAAGTGAAAGTGTTATTTGCTTAGTTCTGTCTCCCTCTGCTACCTCAAGAACTGTAGCCCGCCAGGCTCTTCTGTCTATGAGATGTTCCAGGCAAGAATACTGGAGTGGGTAGCAATTCCCTTCTCCAGGGGATCTTCCTGACCCCGAGATCAAATTCAGGTCTCCTGCATTACAGGCAGGTTCTTTACCACCTGAGCTACAAGGGAAGCCCTTGGAAATCACCTATGGAGCTTTCTAAACACACAGAGAGGTGATTCTATCACAGACCTGATGAATAACAAACACAGCTGATATTCATGTGCCAGGCATTGTACTAAATGCTTTGTTACATATTTTCTGGCTTATTTCTCATAACTTCATGAATAGCTATTACTCTTTCACAACTGTGGATGGAACAAAAGTGATTGAGGTATTTGCCTGAAGTTCCCTGGTGGCTCAGCGATAAAGAATCCGCCTGCCAATGCAAGAGACACGAGTTCCATTTCTGGGTGGGGAAGATTCCCCTGGAGAAGAAAATGGCAATCCACTCCAGTAAATCCCTTGGACAGAGGAGGCTGGCCGGCTATGGTCCATGGGGTCTTAAGAGTAGCACACGACTTAAGAGACTAAACAACAACTGGATCATATGTAGTGGAAGCTACGAGCTAGGTAAACTAATTCCACAGTCCAAGTTCTTAACTATAAGGCCTTCCCCAGTCAGAAGCTCTGAGTGATTCCAAAAGGTAAACCTTACTAGCATAGAATGGATTGCTGTATGCTTAATACGGAATCCTTGGCGTTCAACTCAGCGAATGGTACTCAGCAGACAGCCAATAAACAGTGGCGGACCTCCACTTGGAAGCTGGGGTGGCAGTTGAGGACGGTCACAGGAAGTTAAAAGGATCCGAGGAGTACACATGGGTAGGAACACCCGGCCGCAGTTTTGCAGCTCCTTCCCGGCGTAAGAGGCGGGGCCGCTCGGCCCCTGGCGGTGGGCGGACTCACCCCCGCAGCCGGAAGTCTTGACGTAACTTCCGTCGCGCGAAGATGACGTATGACACGCGCTTCCGCGTCAGGGAGCCGGTGGCGGATCCCGGGACGTGGAGACCCGGGGTCCCGGCAGCGGGGCGGCCCGCGGGCCACGGCGGGGATGCACCGTCGTGGGGTGGGAGCTGGCGCCATCGCCAAGAAGAAGCTTGCCGAGGTGAGGGGAAGAAGGCGGGCCCGCAGTCACCCCTGACTCGCGAGAGACAAATCTCTCCGAGCAGAGCTCTCTACCCTCAAATAGCCTCCAAAGAATTTAACGCGGGCTTCTCGGATCCCAGGGAGCGAGTTTCTCCAGCTCCCGGTGGATTGGAATGTCATCATCCCCAGAACCATCAGTCCTTTCCCCCACGCCCCCCAGTTTGATTACAAGGGAGTCGTCTCTTCCCTCCTCTCCCTAAGAAAAACCACTTGCGGGACCCTCCTCTTTTCATACTTCTGCGGAGGCAATACAAGTGGGAGCCCGCAGCATCCATTCTCTGAACTCATCCTGGTCTCTTTGCCTTGACAGGCCAAGTACAAGGAGCGAGGGACTGTCTTGGCTGAGGACCAACTGGCCCAGGTGAGTAGGTTGGAGGGCTCCAGGTAGCAAGGGAAATACCAAAAGGCTGGGAAGGACTCCTCTGATATAAACCAGATTGTTTGGATCAACCAAAAATAGGGTATTTGGCAAATCCTGATTTCTGTGCTGCTCAGATCATTTAGGTGACTTGCTAATAACAACGATAGCTGACATCTTTGAATGATTACCTACTTTTAGCATCCCAGGCATATGTCCATTTTCTTTAGGTACACTGTCTTGTTCATTCCTCTTGACAGTTCTATCAGGAAAGAACTCTGTTCTTTGCAGTTTAGAATTGAGGGCACTGAGGTGTTAAGTGCTTTATCCAAGGTTACATAGATAGTAAGTGGTAGAAGATTTCTCTTGGTAAGTAGGTGGTAGAAAACTTCAGCCATGTCAGTGGTTGAAGATTTCCTACTGTGTGAATGCTTCAAAATTGATTATTAGATGCATCTTTGATTTGTGTCTTTTGAGTTTTTACTTTAAATGCCAAAGAATAACATGGAAATATTGCCTAACCTCTGACACCCACCACCATCACATCTAGGTGCGTACCAGAAGTGTGTGACAGTAACGAGGGTGTGGTTCCTGCAGTTTCCTTCTCTAGTACTTCCCTTTTCTGTACCTGCCCTCTAGTGTACTCACTTATTTTTCCTGGTGAAGAAAAGGAGGCAGTGAGGCAGGGAAATGGGGCCCTTGAACTGAGGAAAGAAGGTAGACACAAGCTGTACTCTTCAAAAGGTCCCACTCATAGAGGGAGATAACATGCAGGAATCAACTGGAAATGGTGACTATAATAACATGTAAATTTTTTTTTTTTTTTAAATATGGAACGTTTCACGAATTTGCGTGTCATCCTTGCTCAGGGGCCATGCTAATCTTCTCTGTATCGTTCCAATTTTAGTATATGTGCTGCCGAAGCGAGCACAATATGTAAATTTTTAATAGGAGAAAATGAGGAGATGCTGGGCCAGGAGTGGTTATTCTTGGTGGGTTGTAGATAGGCTTTGTTAATTAGGGAAAGAGAAGGAGTAATGCAAATAGGAAATCAGAATATCCCCTGAAGCTAAAAAGATTGTAGCTTTAGAATGTAATGTGGTAGACTGTAGACTCACAACTGTTCCTCAGAGATTCTTTATCTAGGGTTAGCCTCACGGAGGTCCTTGACCCACAGATTGATTCAACAACACACCTGATTCATGCCAGGCTTCCTTACTCTCCTATCTAGCTTTTCTGTCAGTTGCTGAAGATTTCCCGCTGTGTGAATGCTGCAAAATTGATTATTAGGTGCATCTTCAATTAATTAATTTCATTAGATTTTTTTAAAAAGTTTATTTTATATTGGAATATGGTTGATTTACAATGTTCTGTTAGATTCAGATGTATAGCATGTTGAGTCAGTTACATATATATCTATTCTTTTTCAGATTCTTTCCCCATGTAGGTCATCATAGAATATTGAGTAGAGTTCCTTACGCTATACAGTAGGTCATTGTTTGTAGGTCCTTCAGTTTAATAACATTTCCCCCCCTGCCCCCCCCCCCCCCCCGGGAAAAGAAGAGCACTTACAACATGTTATATAATAAGAGTTGTTAAGAGAGTAAATCCTAAGAGTTCTCATCACAAGGAAAAACATTTTTTTCTATTTCTGTAATTTTCTTCTATCTGAATGTTCACAAAACTTAACTGTGATCATTTCATGATGTATATGAGTCAGATAATTATGTCGTATAATGCTGTATATACAGTGCTGTAAGTCAATTTTATCTCAATAAAACTGGAAGAAACTGAATGAATGAGTAAATAAGAAAAATTTTAAAAAAGAAAGAATGGGAAAGAAAGAATTGGTAGATGCATACTGACTTTAGAACAGAAACACATAGGGAAAAAATGTGTATTTTAGAATTGAAGCAACATTACAGCATCTTGTTTCTGTTATAGCAGAACTGTGAAGAAGAGGCAGGAAAAAAAGGGAAGGGAACAGTTAACAGTGTAATGGTAGTCCTGAAGACAGTAGGTTATTTCAGCCTTTGCCGTGCCACTGGCCCAGGGGCCTACTCTTGGCATTCAGTTATCGCTTGTTTGGGTTGCCCCTAACCATCCCCTTGTTCATCCTGCAGATGTCAAAGCAGTTGGACATGTTCAAGACCAACCTGGAAGAATTTGCCAGCAAACACAAGCAGGAGATCCGGAAGAATCCTGAGTTCCGGGTGCAGTTTCAAGACATGTGTGCCACTATTGGAGTGGATCCTCTGGCCTGTAAGGAATCTGTAGGGGTGCAGTGTTCTAGGGTTGCTAAGGGACAGAACTCACCTAGTTGTCATCACTATTGCTGGAGCATCTTCTGTAAAGGCTTACAGGGAGATCTAGAGGGTGTTATCTATAGGGAGTACCTAGCAGGAAGACTGTCCAGTTTGATGGGAACAATGGAGAGGTTGGAGTGCAGGCTGGGTGGACAGTGTACATGATCTTCCCTGGAATGATGTGCTCCGGAGTTTTTTTTTATGACTATTTTTTCCCTTTATTAAAAAAAATATTTAGTTTTGATAAAAGTGGTATGTGTTAAAAAAAAAAGTGTTATGTGTTTCAGTCAGTCAACAAAGAAAATAAAAGGAGAAAGTAAAAGTCTTTTGACCCTGCCTGTTATTGCAGAGATAAAGTATGGTTAAGGTATATTTACTTTCTAGACACCTTCATCATATTTATAAATTATTTTTTAAAGATATACGGGGTTATGCTGTAATTGCTACTTTATAACCTGCATTTTTTACTCAATAAAATATCTTCAGTGGATTTTCAAATGCCAGGTCTGCTTATTCTTTCTCTTAGCTTTGTCTAGACCATATGTCCCATTATATTTCACTCTGTATATCCTGAGCCAGACATAGCAGCCAAATAGAACTGCTTTTTATATTGCCCACCTTTAAAACTTTCTGAACCTGTTGTTTAGTAGGAATAACCAAGAGTCAGATTGTGTTGAGCATCCTGAGTCCAGAAGGGCTTAACACTGGGCAGAGAAGACTTCCCATAGAGTAGATGTTTTAGTCTAGCTTTGAGAGAAAAAGTTGTAACTAATAAATAACCTAGCTTTTGTCTTTTTGTCTTTTAGCTGGAAAAGGATTTTGGTCTGAGATGCTAGGCGTGGGAGACTTCTATTATGAGCTGGGTGTCCAGATTATTGAAGTGTGCCTGGCCCTGAAGCACCGGAATGGAGGTGAGGGTGGCTGAATGGAGTCCTGTGGACTGGGCTTTGGGCTTCTCTGAGAGGGAAAAAAAAATCTTGAAAAATGATTTTTCCTGTTTGGCAGTCTACAGGCCAATAGGGTATTGAGAAGCTGTTTGGTCCTGAGAAGCACATGAGTGCTTCATGCAGTTGAATTCATGGCTGGTCTCCATGGCCAGCAGTAAACATGAATGATTCTATTCTCCAAAGGTCTTTGGTCAGGAAAGCTTAGCCCCTAGTTGTTACAGAACATATAGGGAGGTAGAAAATAGGCCTTTCCCTTGATAGATGATATGTCTGGGTTATGATTTTCTCATTAGTAATGGTAGGCCTGCTCTGCTTCTCCAAGGTGTGTTGATGCCAACTGAGTCTCTTTGCTCCACAAAATGTGATCTTCAAAATAGTCATCCAGTGGTGTCATCTTAATAAGCATACTGAATGGTCTTAAAGCTTAAAACCAGTTAGAAATCATTGGCTGTAGATACAGCCTTGGTGTCAAGAGAACAGTTTTTCAGATATGATGCTGACTTTTTTAAGTCATAAAGGTAATCCTTCAACTGCTTTCTGTCCCCCCTCTCCAATAGGTCTGATAACTTTGGAGGAACTGCATCAACAGGTGTTAAAAGGAAGGGGCAAATTCGCCCAGGATGTCAGCCAGTAGGTTTTGTCTTCCAACCTCTTGGGAGTATAGAAAGGTCTTTAAAAATCAGGTGGAAATCTCTTCTCCTTACTGTTTGTAGGTCTAGGCTAGTTTAGAAATCTTTTTTATTCCTCTTTATGATCAGAAGAAACGTTTTTATTTTAGAAAACTGAAGAGAGAGATAAAAAAACCAAACCACCCATTGTTTCTCAGCTGAGAGATTATTACTATTAAACATTTTGATTGATTTTCTTCTAAGCATGCATAAATACATGAATGTGTGTGTATACACACACATTTTTTTTAAACATACTTGAGGTGATGTATACTCTTGATGTTATTTGTGGTCAAGGAGATTAGAGCAGGCACTGAGAAAGGCTGGGGAAAGGAGTTGAGCTCAGAAGATGGGGTCTAAATTGCCCTGGTTTACTAGCCTTTATGCATGACTCCAATTTGAGAAAAGGTGAAAAAAGCTAATCAGTATGTAGACTGCATATGTGGTCTGCACATTTTCAGATGTGGATTTTCTTCTCTAATTTCATTTGTCAACTAAGAAATCAGAAAATCTAACACTGCTGGGTCTGAATTTCCAAATGGCAGTAATCAGCTGGGTTGCCCCCTTTCAAATAGATAAGCATTCTGTATTTTGCCATAGTTCACACTACTCCCTATTAAGTTCAGCTCACTTATTCACATTTCCTGATGGGCTCCTAGAAGCAAGTTTTTATCTCTGGTGTTGGAATGGCTTGCTGAATGGAAAGCCTGATTCCTCTACCATCTCCCTTGAATGTCTAGGCACCATTTGGTGCACTTTAACCCTTCCTTTTTACTGATGTAGTTAAATGTTGTGCAGACTTGTGAGTCTTCCATCAGGGTGTCCTGCCTAGGGCAGAGCTGAAACTTCATTGTTGCTAGGTCTGGTCTGCCAGGGATCTTTACACAGCTGTTCCTCACCTCAGAGACGACCTGATCAGGGCCATCAAGAAACTAAAGGCACTCGGCACTGGCTTCGGCATCATCCCTGTGGGTGGCACTTACCTCATTCAGTCTGTTCCTGCTGAGCTCAATATGGATCACACTGTGGTGCTGCAGCTGGCAGAGGTACTGGTGTGCCTTCTGAGGGTGTGTGTGTGTGTGTGAGTGCATGTGCATGGCAGTCTGGGAAGGTATTTTCTGATCTCCTCCCCACCATCACTCATGCCTTTTGCTGCAGCGGTCTAACGGATGCACTACTCAGACCTGTGCTTATTTAGCAGATGTTTATTGAGCAGCTCCAGTGCAAAGCACTGGGCCAGGCTGTAGGGGCAAATAAACATGGGTACCACATAGTTCCTGCTCTCAGAGAGCTTACATTCTAGTGGAGGAGCAGACAGACATGCAGACCACTGACTGAATATCCTTGGTGAACAGAGTTTTTTGATGTCTCTGTAAAACTACTTGATGGATTCTTTGAAAAAATTTTTTAATCTTGTCATCCTCCTGTTCCTTAATAGTGCCTTAAGCTGTACCGTCTTCCTGCAGATCCTTACCACGTGTTTAGGGAAGGCATGTTCCGTTTTCTCAGTGCTGTAGTGTAGACTAGAACTGAACAAGGGAGGGAGGGGGCTTTTCTGGGTTGGGGAATGGTTCGGGTGAGGCTGGACAAGGGCTGAATTCTTAATTATTTTAGATTATGATCAGGTTTGATGATCATCATTCCTTCCTATCAGTTAATCATTCTGAATCTTTCTTTGCCATACTCTTGAGTTCTCTGGTAAAAGTCTACATTAATATTTAGTACCAGGGATTCTACTTAAGACTGAGCACCTCAGTCTGCCTACCTCTGTCATCCTGAAAATCACTTCTTACTTCTGCCGGGACCTCTAAACTTTCTTTTCTGTGCTCCCTTAGGCTTTACCCAAGGGCAGGTCCCCCTCCTGTCTGGATAAATTACTTGTCCCTAGGCAGATGCTGGATTCTAAGGGAAAGCACATACTTAACTCATTCCCCGTTCCTTCCTTCAGAAAAATGGCTATGTGACTGTCAGTGATATCAAGGCCAGTCTTAAATGGGAGACGGAGCGAGCGCGGCAAGTGCTGGTACGTGACTTTTGGAATGGCTGAGAAAAGATGGGCCCCCAGATGGGAGGAGGTGGGTAGACAGGTACCACTCAGGCAAGGGCTGCAGCTTCTAACTTCTTGCCTTGAAGGCTGCTGCTACCACACAGAAGTAATCCCAATGTTTCTCTGCAGATGGCACAGAGAGGTAGGACTCACTCACAAAGGAGGGGGCTTCAAACACTGGCACATAGGTACAGCCAGCCTGCCACTGGGGAGTCACTGACACCTTCTCTCATGACCTGTAGAGCCTGGTCAGACGGTTAATGTGGTTTGACTGAAATTAACAGTTGATAGAGAGTGAAGGGAACTATTAACTAATATTACATTTCTGTGATTAGTGCATTTATATATAGTTTTATATATACAAGTTTCCTGGTACTAATGAAAGACTAATGTGAAGAGAGAGTAGCATGAACATGTAGGAGCCCTGGCTTTCAATATCCTTTCCCGGGCAGTTAAACTAAAGACTTAACTTCATCTGTGAAGTGGGGATGACACAAACATTTGTTCAATAATATTGGGTCAAACCAACCCATCTGGAGCATATTTCCAGTTAACAGGAACTATGAGTCCATTCTAATACAGACTTTCCATTAACTTCTCAAGAAGGGTTTCCCTGTCTTGTAGCTGTCTGTTACTCAGTAAGTTAACTGAAAGTTGGTGATCTCCATTTTGTTTTTGGGAATGGAGTCGGTGATTTACTCAAGGCCATGTAGCAAATGTTTCTGTGGCCCTACCTTCCTTCCACAACATCCCCCTTCGTCATGATCCTCTTTCCCAGCAGCACAGATTAAACAACTTGGTAGTATTTCTCACACAGTGGGCAAAGATCTAGGTTAAACACATCATTCCAGTTTGGCTGTGTGGATATGTGAAGGCACTCTTGTAGATTTAGTTTGAAAACCCTACTGAAGCCAAGATAGGTTTGAGGATTATATACCCTACTTTGTGGAAACTCCCCTTTCTCAACTGACTTTTTCCTTTTTTCACCAGGAACACCTGCTGAAGGAAGGGCTGGCTTGGCTGGACCTGCAGGCCCCAGGGGAGGCCCACTACTGGCTGCCAGCTCTCTTCACAGACCTCTACTCCCAGGAGATTACAGCAGAGGAGGCCAGAGAAGCGCTTCCCTGACTGGGAATGAAGTGGGCACAGCAGCCGGCAGGGAGGAGAGGGAGGAGCTGGTGGTGAATAAAACCTGGACAACTTTGTTTTAAAAAATAACCAAAAAAACCCCACCAAAAATTCCAAGTTTTTTTCTTCCCCCAATATTCTTCATTCATTACTTTATTATTTTTTTTGAAGTGCCTTCACATTGCATTTTTATTGGAGAAAACCTTGTTTATCCACTAAGGGTAACCTGAGTAACAGAAAACAGTGAGCACATATAAAATGACTTGCACAGGTCATCTACTACAAGGTCATGGTAGAGCTGGGCCTAGAATGAAGGCTGTCTTATCTCCTGGCTAAGACAGTCTAGTCTCTGTAGCCCTGAGACATAAATTCTAGTCTCTGTTAATTCCAACCCCTTCCTCACAAGATGTTATCACAAATGAGCAGACCCTAATAGGCCAATAAATATTCACTTTCAGTCTCTTCCAGCTTCCTTTGTAGAGGTTCCAGCTTATGGCAGCAGACGTGGCTGTGAGTGTGAAGGAAATACAGGTCAATGTTAAATGGTGGTTAGAGCAAAGAAAATGGAATGAGAGGAATCAACCAATAATGGATGCAATATTTCTCAAATTCCTTACTGACTTTCCCTCCTATAGTGATCACCAGGTCCCTCTAGCCTTATTGGTGGGAATCATTTATTGAACACCCATGAGACACCCAGTTTTATATACCTTTTATATAGCCCTCACAATATTAAAAGTCAAGTAGGTGTCCTAACTTTTCAGGTGAGGAATCTTTTTTTTTTTCAGGTGAGGAATCTTAATTGACAGGGGCCACCTACCACCTTAAGCAGAACTCAAGTTAGAGCCTAGGCCAACTAACCCCCGAGTCCAGGCTTGCCTTTATCTAGCTTTGCCTGGCACAGGTTAATAGAGTTCATATTTAATTTCTTCTTATACAGATGGTCAACCAAGAGAAGCCTTTGTACCAGAAAGCAAGAGCCTTCTATAGCAAATAGAGGAGATGAGCTGGGTGGCCAGTTAAGCCCTGTCTTCGTGGTCTTTAATTCTAAATTCCCAAGGGTTGGTTTGCTATCAGAAAACTGAAAACCCAATAGTTTGGAATATCCATACTGATACACCTTTCCCTTACCAAGGGGATAGTCTGACTAGCTAGCACTGTCTGTCCTTTAGGACATGTTCACTTCCTGAATAGGTATTTCTTTGAAAGCAACTGAGACCAAGATGGCACTCCTCTCCTTGACTGCCAAAGTTACAGCCTCAAAAAAAGGACCGTATTTCTGATGGATGGAAACTCTTGTCACTAGCAGTTCTGCTTCCACACCTCATTATGTAACCCAAGTTTCTGGCTTCCAATGAGCACTATCTTTATTCAACAGTTTCAGGCCTAGGTGAGAGGTGTGGTTGTTAAAATGATCACATTCCTCCTTTTACACAAACCCTCCCACACCCACAGGCGCTTCCTCCTTCTGCCAAAACAAACTTTATTGCACCAAAAAGGAAAAAAAAAATTCATTTATGTACAGTCAGATATAAAGACATCTCTTTGACTCCTGTGCATATATTTCCTCAACTCAAGATTTAGGGCATAAAAGTCAGGCTGGTATGCCAGACATGCTCTGCCCATGGCAGGGCCAAGGAGGATTGTCACTTGAAAGTGGGAACACTTAAATGGATGACTAGACAACACTGGACCAACAGACCAAGGGCATTCTTCTAAGCCCTGTACTAGCTCTGGGAATGGGAGAGGGGAAATTGGAAGCAGGGTCCCTTTTTGAGTCTCCTTGTGAAGAGACCCAGCCTTTAGGTACAAAGCTAAACCTCCATCCCCCAAGCCCACTTACTGTCCAGTTTTTCTTCCTGCCCTCCCAAGTAGGACATTCTCCTTTGTGCCCACCCTCCCACCCCTGGGAGGTTCCATGATCCACAAGGCAGAGGCCTCCCTAGCAGCGGGCAGAGCGGGGATGAATTACCGTTATTCTCCCCTTACATGTGGCTGGATACTGACTGAGGCCCTGTGTCATGTGGCTCACTATTAGCCCACTGGGAGCCCTAACAGAATCTGGAAAGTACAGAACACATCAAAAACGGAAGGATGGGTTCCCTTGATGCCCAGTATCACAGGGCACCTAAAGCACGTTTTTCTGAGCCAACCAGCTAAAGGATCACTGCAGCTAAATACAGATAAGAGAAGCAACACAGCCAGGGAAACGCCCATCAGTCAGTGACGGAGCAGCTGGAGGAGAGCGGGTGGAGAAGGGGAGGGGTCTTCAGAGTCCCAGCCCCCACCCCTCTGCCACTGGCTGCCCCTGTTCCCCACAGCTCCCTAGGCTTTGAAGTGATAAGGTGGGACTACAGGCTGAAGTGAGAATACGCAAGGACAGCCAAACAAAATACAACAGGACTAGCATCAGCCTCCTCTGTATCCCCCCACCCCCGGAGAAATACCCTCATTGTGACTAGTATTTATGAAGAACCTGTTAAAGAGACTATTCTATGTAGTGGCTCTAATCCCATACACACAGCTGCTGCTTGTGTTGGGGACTTTTCAAATCAGTGATTGTGGGAACAAATGGCATTTTCAGTTTCTTACGGTGCCTGTGCAGGCTTTACCACGACCTTGGTTCAGTCCCAGTCACATTTACCTTCTGTCTTAAATCTGAAATGGGTGAGGGAATGGGGGACAGAGGAGAAAGGTGCTCAGGTGCTAGGTAAAGCTTACTCATCAGCAGCCTAGACTCCACCACTGTTCCTTCTCTTTGGTCTGTCTAGAACAGTGACTATAAATTAGGAAAAACTTTTACGCTGGCCCATGGGAAATAATGGGGGTAGAGGCAGGGAGGAAAAGGGCACTGGGGAGCCCTGCTTCAAGACTGCAGACAGACAGACAACCACCCCGACTGCTGAAGTGTCACAGACAGCCCCCCACCCCAAGCTCCCTTCCAGATATTCCCATAAATCTTTTGGGCACACTCCCTCTAGGAATTGCAATTTCGGTCTCCCACCTGTCCCTAAGGAGCTGGCCCCATGGAGAGGTGTGTTGGTTTTGTTTTTTTTTGCCAGAGGCCCTTGCCCTAGGTGCTTCTGCATAGGTACCTTGGCCCCTGATTTGGGATGAACACAGTCCCAGATGCTCGAGAACCAAGGAGGTCAGATCAGAAACAGCCTCCCCTCTCCCACACCCTGGGATCCGAGCTTGCTTGGTTCTTGCCATCTTGCAGGATGACGTCACATTTGGAGGGAGATACACAGTGCCTCTCCATCCCTGGGGTGGGGGAAAGGGACTTTGCTGGGACTCTCGAGTTGGGGGAGGGGTGAGGGGAGCAGGGTCTAAACCCTTAGGCTCCCGTGCAGGTCTGTCTCTGTCCCAGATGAGCTGCTATCAGAGTCCATTTCGGCGTTCTCATTATGGAGCCTCTCCAGCACTTTCTGACGAATCAGTCCCAGGCGCATCAAGAGGGACTGGTAGTCAAAGTGGCCCCGTTTCTCTCCGAAAGGGTCCTGTGGGGGGAAAGGAGACAATCGGGAAGGAAGATTCAAGTCTGGGTGGCTCACCCTAGAGAGAGAGCTTTAGGCCCGCATCAAGTACATGCTCAACTTCTGAGCATGGGGACAGAGGAAGGCATAGCACAGAGATTCCCAACAGCAGACATCATCCTTGTTTAAGAATACTGTGGCACGTTCAACGGCAGACAGGTCTGGCTTGGGCTAACATTAAAATGTGTTTGCATTCCCCAAAAGCAAGCCAACGTGCCAAAGGGGGACACACTAACAGGGAGAGAGAGGAGAAATTCAAGACGAGGACTGTAATCATGAAGTATGGCAATGTTTTCAGTTAACCTCATACAAACTATGAGAGGTTCTCTGTGGCTTAGATGGTAAAGGGTCTGCCTGTAATGCAGGAGACCTGGGTTCAAACTCTGGGTCGGAAGATCCCCCTGGAGAAGGAAATTGCAACCCACTCCAGTATTCTGGCTTGGGAAATCCCATGGACATTCCCTTGGGAAGTCCCTGGTGGGCTACAGTCCATGGGGGTCACAAAGAGTCAGATACAACTGAGCGACTAACACTTCACTTTCATACAAACTATACAAGGGAAAAACTGTCCTTCATTCCCTATCCTCAAAGGGTAATTTACTTTTCTGAGATCACAGGCAGGTAGAGAACTCAGGAATTCTGACTTCTGGATAAGCACCTGCCCTCCTCCCCAGGGATCAGTCACTACATTCCTGTCCAGATTTTTGGGCATCAGTCCAGTCCTTGTCATTCGAGATCAAAGATCACCAAACATCATGTGGAAAGGGGATAACTGTCTTTAAAGTCTCAAAAATAACTATGGGTGGGGTGGAGAATATAAAAAAGTAATTAAAAATGCTAAATAGGGATTATGGCAGCAAGGAGGCTGGGCCAAGGTTTACACAAGTGGAGACCTCTTTCCTTGGCAGTTACAAAAAAGTACATGATCCTCTCTCTCACATAATGTCTGCTTCTCCCACATAAACTCCTGCCACACTTCTGCACACACATTACCCTCATGATCAGGGCCAGTGGATGTAAACCACAGTCTCGAGACTACAGCTTGCACTTTCCACATGTGAGGGTTATGGTCCCCAGAGGCTGAACTTCACACTTACTCTGGAGCTGTCAATTTCTCAAATCTTCCTCCTTTCATCACTGGCTCCATTTCCACCCACTCTCCTCTTCCCCAGATGCTGCTTTTCCTGCCCTTCACTCATCAGAAATTGTTTTTCCTTCACAGACTATTAGAAATACTGCTAGATACCAGCAAAGAGAATTCCTGATGGGGAACAAGCTAAAGCATGCAGTGTCCTCAATGTACTCTTAGAAAAGTTTCAGGGAACAAGTCAACTTTGAACTGGCCCTGTCTTCTGAATTTAAATGGGGCAGGTAGGGAGGAAGTCCTTGAAGGAAGGATAGGGAAACTACCATCTCTGAAGAGCACCTAAGGAAACAGGACATTTACTCCCATGGCTGGTGGTGTTGGGTTTGTGGAAACACAGACCAAAAAGAACTGGAAAAAACCTGATGACATCTTAGTCACTTAGCCAAGTCACCACTTTTCTATAGCAAGTAAAGGATCCAAAAGACACAGGACTGGTCCTTCAGGACAGGAGGGTTCTCAACCTATTGCTTGTATCTGAATCTATTTACAATTTAGTTTAATAAGAACCTTTTCATTTAAATAAGTCTAAATTCTGCATTCTTACTGGAAGCAGAAGCACATTTCTGGCAAAGAATGAACAACTGGTTACCATCCTTGTAACAGGAATCTTTCAACAACAATAACTGCACATGCAATGTTTCCCTAAGCATTCTTTCTCTAGACACCCCTCTGAACTAGGGATGAAATTCCAATAATTGACTCTACAATCCCTAAATTCTGAGAGGGCTGATATTCTTAGTTTGAAAAGATTGCTGACCAAGATTGGAAGGAGTTCCAGGATAGAAAGTAGAATGATTCAGATTCTACTCATGAGCACCTACTTTATGCCAGGAACCTAGAACTAACTCCAGATGGCTTCACTCTCTTTGGGTCTCAGTGACTCAAATGCATCAGGTTCCTTTTGGTTCTGAATGCTATGACAGATGTGGATGTCACCCTTCGGGGAGGGGGGGGGGGGTTGTTTAAATGTCTGTTTTAAGGTCTCTGAAACTAGCAGCAGGTTGTTACCTGCATAGTCTGGCCTTGAAGGTGCAGGCGATCTTTGCAGGCCACCTCATAGAAGTCATAATACTCCAGGAAGGACTTCTCCATCACCCCTCTGGAAAATAAGCAGATAAGTTTAAGTTAGGCACAAGACGGGAAGGCACCACCGCTTCATCATCTAACTTTAATGCCAAATTAAGCAGCTAGAATTCCCATGACCAGATTTGGTTTCCTACGATCTTCGAATGGAAAACAGAGAAAGTAACCACTGACTGCCCATGGTTTATTTCCCTTAGATTTTAAGGATTTTTAAATGGAAGTGATTGTTAATACTGATCACCTAAACCCCAACTTCAACTCATGACTTGCTCAATCGTTTTCCAGAGGCCATCCCTAATCCCAAACCTTATTCAAAATTCTCCTAGATACTCATGAAACATTGTACATGAACCCTATATCAACTTAAAAAAAAGTAGCCCCTTCAAATCTTAGAAAAGTTTGTTTCATTAACTCTTTGTTCATCTCGTTTTAACACTTAGAAGTAGACATGAGCACTAAGAAATGGGTTTATTACGAAGTGCTCTACACCTCATTTGGCTGTGCACAGTCACCATGTCTTTAATATGTCCAGGTCCTCATCAAACAAGGGCTCCCTGAGGGCATGAACTACATCTTTCCCATCAGGCCTGGCACTCTCCAAAAACTGAGAGGCTCTCTGAACTTCCTCTTAGATAACCCTTTGGTCACTTGCTCTTTAAAGGCATGAACCACATCTTTCCTTTTGTCCCAAAGGTATGAACAAGTTAAATCTCCAAAAGGAATACCAAGTATCAAGTGGGCTCTCTTTACACATACCTTAAGGGTTCAGGGCAGGGACATTTT